ATCTATCTATCTATCTATCTATCTATCTCTCTATCTATCTATCAATATATCTATCTATCTATCTATCTATCTTATGTCCATTTATCGGCGAATCTACCAATATATTGATCTATCGATCTGTCCATCTCCCAGATTCCCTCACCCTAGCCACCGGGACCGTTTCATCATCTGCGACAGTAAGCATCAAGCCTACATAGTGTTATGTCCCTTGGGAGAACTCTACAACGCCAGCAGTGAGGAGTGCGAGTACTCCCCCCTGGCCAATCAGCTTCCGACGTCCACGCCACATGGGGCGGTCCTCACCCCGGCGGCATCAACTTCCGGGTGAGTTCAAAGTTCAAACGCACATTTAAAAAAAAATGTTTTTTGTTTGAGTAACAAGAAGTAAATCAACCATAATTGGTCGCTTTTAAACACAAGGGGGCTATCCCGAAAAATGCTGTTTTGAGAAAATCGAAGACAACGTTTTTGCCTCTTGTACAGTTTCATAAAAAACAAGGAGAGTTTTCTCTATAACTTAACAAATATTCACACCAATGAAACCAAACTGCTCCTATAGGTAGGGCAATGCCCACTTTTAGTTTAGGTTCTAGAAACCCCCGAAATCTGGGTTGGCTCGCTTGTCTCCTTAAAAGCGACCAATTATAGTTACTAGGGGCAAGGGAAATGGCCGATGCCGCGCTGGCTCGCAGTAAACTTTGTGACTGTTTTTCAGGACGACCCCATCTCTTCCAGTGACCTTGACCTCTGCGACCCCGAGTCCCGCCACAACGACCAAGCAGGTCACCACAGTAGCTGCGTCTAACCCCTGCACTTACAACAATATCCTCAAAGGGAACCGTCTCCATCCCTACCCATTGGACAAGTAAGTGAAAGACTTTGCTCATTTTCCTTTTATGTATAGTTTTAATAAAGGGCGGTGTCTTTGTTAGTGGCGTTGGTAGCCTAGTAGTTAGGCTACCGTACTCGTAATCGCAAGATTGTGGGTTCGTGGATTCGAGCCTCAGCTCTGTCCGACGTGTCGCTTATAAAAAAGGCCGGTGTCTATGTGGCGTCGGTAGCCTAGTGGTTAGGCTACCAGACTCGTAATCACAAGATTATGTGTTCGGGGGTTCGAGCCTCAGCTCAATACGATGGGTGTTTTGGGGAAAAAATGGTATGGCTTAACGCCCCTATCAACACTATACATTTTTTAGGCGGGTGTCCTTGGGAAATATTCTTTACACGAGTTTCCCACTTGGCACGGTCCTTTCAGAGATGGACGTTAAACTCAGAGGTTCCACTTTTTAAATAACCTAACAGTGTTTATAGGGGCGTTAAAACCTATACCATTTCACTGGTGTCTGTGGTATAGCGGTTAGGCTCTTCGCTGTTACGCCGAAGAGATCAACGTTCGATTCCCAAGGGGGGGGGGGAGAACAGTTTTTATCGAGTATATTTGTCTTTCTGTTGATATTTCCGATAACAAACAAAATTTGTTACCCCCATTCAGGTCTCCTGCTTGCAATACCGAGGCTTCCTAACGCTGTTACTATTATAATTACATATTTATTTTCATTACCAGCTGCACTCATCTCTTCCCCATACATCAATACCCTTTATCCTCATCCTTTCCCCATACACCTTTACCCATACCCCTCCGTCCCATACCCTTCCCAACCCACATCCCCTCCCTCCCCCATACCCCACTCCATGGTTTTGACGTTTAAGAGGGGACAACGACGCGTCCAAACCACTTACATGTACATGTACTTTAAACAAACAAAAAATAACCTTCAATGAATTTCTTTGTCTAATGAACTGGTATTTATGGAACGCAGGAATGGTTGCACTGTAAACGAATTCATGTGTTATACAATATTTATTGTTATTACCAGTTGCACCCCTTCTCCCCACACCCTCCCTCCCCCTTACCCCTCCGTCCCCCATACCCCTCATCCTTCCCTCCCCAAAACCCCTCCTCCTCGATTCCCTCCTCCTTCCCCTCATCCCTTCCTCCATCCCATTCCCCTCCTCCACCCCCACCCTCATACTACTCACCCCCACCCCCATACTCTATAACTCAGTTCTCGGGCTTGCAATGATAAGGTTAAATGACAACTAAAACGTAACAATATTTATTCTCATTTGA